ATTACTGTAATTACAGTAATAATTATTCAAATAGATCTGTACTTTATATTAGGTCTCGCCTTAATACAACTTGCAAATGGGGGGAAAAAAAAAAACAGCGGGGACACAAAAAATAAGGGAGTAAATATCCAAAAATGTGCAAACGGAATAAATACTTCAAAATTTGGCAGTAAAACATCTAATTAAACAAGGATAGAGTTTATGCCGTGTTTGTTCATTGTTTAAAAAAATATCCATTTTTTCTAATTAAACAAGGATAGTTTCCAGCTAAATACTGACGATTTTGATGAGTAGAAGGAAAATAGATAAAGGAGAAGAATAAAAGTAGACAGGGGCAGACCCAAGTGGGGTCCCATAGGGCCACTTGACCCCTCAGTTTTTTCCAATTTTTTTTGCTCTTGGTTTTCATGCTATTATGGAATATCAAACGAAATTAAAATATTACATTCTTAATATCATTTTAAAGTACTTAGGACCTAATATTTCACGTTATTAATGTGTGTGAAATGACCAATTGTAGCAAATGTTACGACGCATCAAAGTATGCCGTTCCAAACTAATATTTTGAGATTTTCGATAACAAGCTAATTTTAAAAATTCTTCGATGATTATACGCTAGCCGTATCCATAAATTTTTTATATTCTCTCGAAACTCATTTCGAAAACTATATCATAAACATATCGAATGTTCTAAATGAATATCGAAAATAGTCAAACGTACGTCAAACGTGTATGCCAAAAAGATGTGTATAACTCGTCTTTTTTGAAAAAAAAAATCAATTATTTTATTAATGTTTATTATATTTACGCGACAAATTTCTCAATATAATTTATATCATTTTATTAGGAAATTTTAAATTTTATATGTTGTATGACGTCAAATTTTATTTTTTTGGACGAAAAAATTCTTAATAAAGTTTTTATTACTTCATAGGGATTATAAATTGTTATATTACTTTTTCATCTTGGTTATTTTTATATCTGAAAAAAATTTATATATAAAAAAAATCCAATTATTTTTAGGATTTTTTTTTTTTATTATTGTTACCTTTTTCTCACGATCAATTAATTTTTTTTCAAATGATGTCAAAATTTTTATTAGGAAATTTATTAGATTATTTAAAAAAAATTAATTAATTGAGAGGAAAAAGTAATAATAATAAAAAAAATCCTAAAAATGATCAAAATTTGTTTTTTATATATATAAAATTTTTGATGTAAAAATAATCAAAATGAAAAAATAGTATAACAGTTTATAACCCATATAAAGTAATAAAAAAAATCTTCACTTTTTAAAAAAGTTTGATTTTGATCCCCTAACGTAAAACGTCTGCGTCCGCCAGTGGAAGTAGGACATGAGGAAGGAGAGAGAGAAAAAAGAATTAGGAGTTTTTGAGATAATGATTATTAAAAATAAGAGAAATGAAACACAAGGAAAAAAATCAAGTAAAAATAAAATATATGTGTCATCATTTGAGTGAATATGCATAGCATGCAAGTATATAGGACTAAACTTTTTTTTTTTCTCGATTATCTAACGTGGGCCTAGGTGCCAAAAGCTTGCACCTCTTTTTTTTATTATTATTATTATTATTATTATTATTATTATTAGGCCTAGTTGCCAAAAGCTTGCACCTCTTTATTATTATTATTATTATTATTATTATTATTATTATTATTATTATTATTATTATTATTATTATTATTATTTTAAGGATTACATAAACTAACTAAATAAAATATATAATTATTGATGTTCTTATTAAATTAATTTAAAATAATTAAATGATATTCTTATAAAATATTTTTTAATGGTCTTAGAATAATTAAGATAATATTAGAAATATGGAGGTGTTATTACACATTAGGTTTTGCTTCTATACATTTAAGCTTGTGAGTCTTAAAGCTTGATCTCATCATTTTGCCACACCTCATGTGTTTTAAAACATTGTACAACCCTTTACGATCAAAACTCAATACGACTAACCTCATGTGTTGGTTTTATGTATAAGAGCTAAAAATGAACGTCCTAATTTTTTGTTTTTACTTTTGAAGTCATTAGACATATATATACACTTGAGGATTTTGTGATGTTAAAAATTGAAAAGAGCTGTGGATTCATGAAACGCGTGATTAAAAAAAATAAGGTAAAAGTTACCTAGTTAAAAGCTTTTTAGAAAAATAAAAATTTTACAAAACATGCACTTAAAGTATGTGGCATAACAATTGAATATCCTTGTAAACAGTTCGCCACTCAATGATTTTTATTTTTATTTTTTATTTTTTATTTTTTTTAAGAGAACCACGTGCTTGACATTGAGGACAAAAGATATTAAAAAGATAATTAGTCTGTTGCCTTACCTATTTTTCAAAAAATGTATCAATACGATTAATCAAAAGTTTTAAAAGACACCTCCATAATATGTTTATTCATTATTAGTGCAATGATTATTTGATGCACAACATTTTAATATGATTAATGTGATGCAATACATTACGTGTAAATATCAATGATATGACATATCAATGCTTAACTTAAGCTAAACATCAATTATATAACATATCAATTCATTATTGTATAATAATTTAATTCAATGTTATTATGACCCATGATAATTAAAGCAGCCATAATTTTAGGTTAAACATAAAATACCAAGAATCGTGCAAACCCTATATAAACATACACAAACTTGAAGTGACATCGTATCTAGCTTAGAATTACAGGGTATAATTCACAAAATCCATACAAGTGCCGCTTTTCCTATCAAAAATTGTCAAGTGTTGATATGTAAAGATTCTGTCAAGTTTTTCCTTTACCTCTAGCATAATTGTCTAGCTTCACCCCCAAAATTCCTATGCAAGTAGAATTTTGACGGCTCAAAGCAAAATGTCAAACTCCATTAATGCTCCATTTCCAGAATTCCGAACTTTTTGTGCCTATATAATCTGCTAAAAAATAATGAATTAACCACTTCTCATAGTTATAAGCAGCTTACAATCTTGAATTACCAAGAATCTCACTTGACTTCAAGCATGGCATTTCTAATAGCTGCTCACATGGTTTTCACTTTCGGCATTCTTGGTATCTTTATATGCCCCCATTTGGCCCCCATTTTTTGAAATGAAAATGGGTGGAATAGTGTTTTTTTTTAATGAGTGGTTGAAAAGGAAGAATTTTTTTCCGATTTATGTGTAATATTATTTTATGGAAGATTGTGGTTGAAAGAAGGAGAGAGAAAAATAAAATGGAATTTAAAGGTGGCCAGATATAATAAATTCATTTATGTTGGATCTGTATCTGTTTGAACTAATCTTGTGTTAATTAATTTGAATATTTATTATTATTATTTTATTATTTTGCAGGAAACATCGCGTCGTTCTTCGTGTACATGTCACCGGTGTAAGAGCTTGATATCTAATTATTTCTTGTTAATTTGAACACTTCAAAAAAAAATGCAGCTACAACAATGAATACCCATCAATGGACGATTTCTGGCCTATAGTTTACGTGTTTTTTTCTTGGATTTCAGGCCTACATTTTACAAGATTTATAAGAGAAAATCGTCAGAAGGATTTCAGTCAATTCCTTATTCAGTTGCTTTATTCAGTGCAATGTTGTATTTGTATTATGCTTATTTGAAGAAGAATATGATATTGCTTATAACCATAAACAGCTTTGGATGTATCATGGAATTATGTTTTCTGATCATCTTCACGGTATATGCAAACTATGAATCGAAGGTTATTCTTATCCTTAATTTTCTCAAACATTTGACTTGTACTTTTTCCTCTTTCATACAACAAATTTGGAGTCAGCACGTGAATCCATTCAGGGCACTCCGGAAATTTGATGCTAGTCTTGCTATTTCACTTCATTCAACGAAACAAAACACTATATCTAATGTATGCCATAATTTTATTTTTTTTACTTCTCCATCCAATTCCTACAATTGTACTTTGATGCCATTTTTGCTCTTTCAATCACTACAAACTAAAACCCACTTTCAATAAATTTGGAGCCGAGATGTGAATCGTTTTCTAGCACTTATCCAAAACATTAAAATGAAAATTGATCTTTTTTTTTTGCTCTTTGACTTCATAGAATCACAAATTAGGTCTTATTGGCAATAAATTCAGAGTCTAGACATGAATCATCCCTATTCCACTCAAATTATTTATTTATTATTATTATTATTTTTTTGGCAGATTTATACCACAAAGATTCTCTTCCTGTTCAACACAGTAGCAATGGGTTTGATCGTTGGATGCACATATTCTCTATCAGAAGGGCATAAGAGAGTGACAATTGTTGGATGGATATCTTCGGTTTTTTCTCTCTGTGTTTTTGTTGCTCCACTTGGTATTGCGGTAATTAATTTTGATTGTCCCTTAATTTAAAATTACTAAAGTTTTCAAAATATTTATCAAAAATTTCAATAATTGTTTTTGTTTAATATTGCAGAGGCGAGTGATAAAGACAAAGAATGTTGAATACATGCCAGTTCCTCTCTCATTATTTCTCACACTATCTGGTGTCGTATGGTTCTTCTATGGTCTTTTCATCAAGGATTTCTTCATAGCTGTGAGTTCATTATAAGACTCTTAAAATTCATATATTCTATATTCTTATCAGGGCCTGTCCTGTGATCGTCAGGGTCAGAGGCGAAATCCATAAATTGGGCCTTCGACGAAATCAACGTAAATGCAAAATTCAACGGTATATCTTGCATCATATTACTAAATTAAAACTTAACATTAAAACAACAAACAAATATATTATTTCAACGGTATATTATGCAACCTAATGCCCAATGATTAACCTAAAAGACAATTACGAAATATCTCAATCATCTCACAATTAGTGTTTTCAATATAGTTACTACGTACGCCTATGCAATTGTTAATCATATAATAACCAATCTTATAAGCCGACCAGGCCACTATTATATAAGCTGATAAGGTTTCAAACATTTCCAACATATTCGATAACAAGTTAGGGCAAGCCATTGCTGAATTGAGAAGTAAAATTTCGACGAAAATTATGGAATCACACCTTTAAGAATTCCACGGTCACAGTTCATAAGCCTGAAATAAAAATTTCATCATTACACAATGCCCTATTGTCTTATGTTAGTCAGGGATGTTAAATAGTAAATAGATACCAAACGTGATGCAGGTTCAAGTAGGACACACATTCTTGGATCAAGATATGTTGAACAAATTCCTATTTTCCACATCCAATAACATTTTCGATTATTTACGCAAAAATTTGAGTATTACAAATTTACATAAACAATACAAAATTAAAATGACATACAAACTCTAGAGCTGTCCCAAAAAATTTGTGATCTTGTCTTGATGAAATTAAAATGGATCGTCGGTCGCACTGTCACAGGCATGAGGAAAAACGAATGAAAAACCAATTTTGTCTTTAACTCTCTAAACCCTTAAGGGGGGAAAAAAAAAAGGAACCAAAATTAGGCCCCCTTTGGTTTTGGCTTGAGGCGTAGGCCTCAAATGCCTCGGCCCAGGACCGGCTATGATTCTTATTATTATTATTTTTTTTCTAATTAAGACCCTAATATCGAAAATTTTCTCAACACTAATCTGTGTTTCTTTTTTTGTATTACATATAAACACAGGCTCCAAATGTTGTTGGATTTTTATTCGGAATAGCGCAGATTATTTTATATTTAATCTACAAGGACAAGGACTGAAGGACAAAAAAAAAAAAATATTCTACTAGAAAATAAGCTGCATGATATATCAAGTAATACAGACCAGAGTTCACGAGATGACATGCAGATGTCATCAATGGTAGAGATTGCAGAAGCATTTATTAGCTGTGATTATGGAGATTTAGCTATGATTATGGAGATTTAGCTACAATTATGAAGATGATTTCCTTTACAAAATATTTGGCCTAGAATAGCTTTATTTCCTTAATAGCATATTCTACGTGTATTATATATACACTATTGTATCGTATGCCAAATCAATGAAAACTGATTTTATTTATATGAAATTTTACATGGTATCAGAGTAGAACGCATTGTGGACTACAAAAAAATTCTGTGATGCTAGGTTCATTTGGCTCCAAGTTTGTTCCTCTGTGGGCGGTCCATGATGGTGGTAATTACTATTAGCTTTGATTATGGAGATTTAGATACAATTATGGAGAATATGCTATTAAGGAAATAAAGCTATTCTAGGCCAAATATTTTGTAAAGGAAATAATCTTCATAATTGTAGCTAGATCTCCATAATCATAGCTAAATCTCCATAATCAAAGCTATGATTATGGAGATTTAGCTACAATTATGGAGATCTAGCTACAATTATGAAGATTATATCTAATATAGGCGTGCACAGGCATCAATTAGACGAATTTTGGCTAAGCATAAAATAAGTAAATTTGCTTATAATTAAATTTTTATTTCTAAATTTATTAGACAACTTATTAATTAATAAAAAAAATTACCTTTTAAAAAGTAGTTTTTGTTGTAAATGGTAAGTTTATTAGGGTTTGTTAGTGAATGACAAATTTACCCCTGCGACCTAAGAAATTATTACCATTGTATCCATGATTCTTCTGTGATTCTTAGTAAAATACAAAAAAGTCTATTGACTTCTCTCTGTCATCTTCTCTTTTCACAACATGTTATAAGCACGATAACTTAATTTTTCAAAATTTAGTAAAAATAATAATTTTTTATAAGTATAAATATTCATCACGTGTACCAAAATTAATTTGGTGACATGTGAATTCTTTTAATGTACATATACATCATAAGCAAGTTGCTTATTTTCCTCTACTTTTCGTTGGTATGCCTATTAATTTTAATTCATGTTTGTATGTATATTTTATACACATATTAATTCATTTCTTTTGATTCATACACAATCAATTTGTCCCATATTATTCACATATTAATTTTGTCTTTTGAATCTGCCTCATACTAGTTCTACCTTTAATTTCGATATATGTGAAATTCACATGCATGTTTATTATCTTCTGCATGTTGGTAAAAAATTTAGCCAATAAAAGATTTAGTCAATTTTGTTAACTTCTACATATGGAGATTCTTTTTCCTAATGTATATTTGGTAATTAATTTCTATATATAAATCCATATCCAATTTATATGGTAATTAATATTCTTTAATCTAATAAATATTTGTAGATTTTTTCCATAAATTTTAAATTGATAATGTATAATGTTGCTCCCGAAGTAGCACGACATTATTAATAATCTAGAATAATATTACTTGTTCATTAAGAGCATGATATTACAATTTCAATATTCCAGAAGAATATTGACTCAATGTTCCTGAAAAAGCATTATTTAAATTATATTTATTGTAAACGAATATGGTGTTGATGTTTTTGAAGAAACACAAATCACGTTATATATTTCATTGTTACTCATGTAGAGCAGAAATTTTAATATTATGTTGTTTAGCTCGAAAGGTAGAACTAATTGTTAATCAATATTTCAGAAGAATACTATATTTATACTCTTGAAGATTGTATATCTCATTGTGTTCTTGAAGAAACACAACCCATCTAATATAAATGTCCCAAAAAAAAAAAAATTATCTGCTCCTGAAAAGCTTGTCATTACTAAGTATATAGAAATATTTTAGAAGAATATTGATTGATTTCTAGGTAAAAATACAAATTAAATTACTCTATTTCATTCTTGTCCATTCTTTTGCATACTTATTTATATATTGATGTTCTAGTTATATTTTACTTGCTCCCGAAGAGCATAATTAAAAATTCTGTTTTTACTCATGAAGAGTAAAATTCTCTTATACAATTTATTATTTAAAGTAATAATATGCTATTGTTCTTGAAGAGCATGACACCAAGATTTCAATATTCCGGAAGAATATTGATATATTGCTATTGAAAAAAAGCAATAATAAAATACAATTTGCTCTCGAAATAGCACATGTCTCGAAAAATATATCATTTTGAATTCGTGTTTATCCCTGAAGGAAAATATATAATTCACGTCATGTTAACATTGATTAATTTGTCTTTTTGATTAAATATTACACAATTGTATAATATTTAATCACATTTTTCAAAATTAAATAATTGAATTATATATTATATTTAATTAGAAGTTCAATTTGATTTTATCATTTGGCATGACTAGTTTGACCATCACTGAATCTACAATGATGCGAAATTAAAAATTTGAACTGGATATAGAATGAAGAACCAGAAGATTATTTAATCCAACGAATTTCTATATATCGTTTGTTCTCTTTATCAACAATTATCATTAAAAATCACTAGCTAAAATAGGGATTGAATTTCTTATATTTTTGAAAATTAATTAAGGTGATATATGGGGTCCCGTCACCTATCATGTTGACGATCTAAATATTATTTGTATCTAATAGATTTGGTATAAATACTAGATAATTGCATAATATTCTTAACTTGAAATTTGTGAAATTATTGCTCAAGTCATGAGCATAAATTTCAAATTATATAATCAAGATTGTATCTTGTTAATACTAGTGAGCATAAATCTCAACATTTTAATAAGTATTAGTTGAGATGTTGATAAATGATTTAACAATATTGTTTGTTAAACGCTTCCCAATTAATTGAGAACAAAGTTCTTTGTAATTCTGTGGAAATGCTATTATGCATCATTCCAGTATCATAGTTCCTTCTATTATAATTGACTTATGATCAGAACCTAATTTTTTCATCAGATTATTTAATAATGTAATTAATCTATCACATCATAATAAGATGAAAAGTAAAGAATGATGAGAATAAATGCGTAGTTTTAACCCTTATCTCAAATGGGTGATATTTGATAACGCAATTTACTGATTGTCAATTTGATTGGACAATTCTCTCAGCATTCGATGAGGAATTAAGAAGTTGAGCATAATGTATAAATGGATCATCATCTAAATCCTTCCAAAATATCATTCGAACCAAAAGTTCGAAAGATAATTCATTTAGATGTATTTACTGATCAAAGAGATAAACAATATCTCACGCACCAATTGTAAATGCTCTAACACTAATTGATATCATAGGAGAACAATTTGATAACATTATATTTGATATATTTGTGGCACGCTTGAAATGTGATGATATTCGATTATAATGCAAAAATCTTCAGATGAAAGTAGAGTAATTAGCAAAGATGGTCTCAATTAAGGAGGCATACACTCTTGATGAGTATTTAGATATAATAAATTATAAAATCTCAAAAGAGATTCAGGTATCTGATATGTTGAAAGTTGAGCTATCTCAATAAATTATATCATTATGGGAAAAGAAATAGAAGCAAACAAGAAAGAAAAAATTGTCGACAATATTTTTACACATGATGTATTGCATCATATTATGAATAGCAAGGAATTGTAATAAATGCATCTATATATATCGATTGAAATAATATTTGGCCAAATAAAAGGGATGCAATCCTAAATTAAGTTTACTAGAAAACATGAAGTTTTTGGACCTGCAGTCCGAAAATCTAAAGGTATACACTATGCGAAAAGGAAATGAGAAAAATGAAGTCGTAATGTGTAACTCTCAACATAGTGAATTTTGCAAAGATCGTCGTGGATGGAATCACGAATCTATATAAAGTTATCTTGACAATACATGAAATTTGAAATACGTGATAGTTTACTCATCTAACATGACTATTAATGTTATCTCTAAAAGATTTAATATGCTTGAACCATAACTCAGATGATACATGCCCAAAAATCATATTATCAATTAAATTGCAAAGATCATTGTATGGATTTAAACAAATTGGACACTTATGGTTAATCGCCTTACCGAATATTTGTTAAAGGAAGGCTATATATATATATATATATATATATATATCTTAAAAATGAATTTGAGATGAAGGATTTTGAAAAAATCAAATTCTGTCTCGGGTTGCAGACTGAACATTTTTCAAAAGGATTATTTGTTCATCAATCTACATATGCAAACAAGTTTTAAAATGTTTTTATATGGATAATACACATCCATTGGCATCAACTATGGTTGTTTGATCATTTGATGTGAAAAAAGATCCATTTCATCTACCTGAAGATAGAGTTCTTAGTCCCGAAATATCATATCTTAGTGCAATTGGAGTATTAATTTATCTTGCAAACTGCACTCGACCCAACATAGCTTTTTCTATAAATCTCCTATGACATATAACTCTACACCAATTCAAAGACGTTGTAATGGTGTTAAACATATTTTTCATTACCTAAAAGGTACTATTGATTTGAGATTATTTTGTTCTCAAAAGTCGAAATCTACTTTAGTGGTATATGCAAATGCAGGTTATCTATCTGATCCACATAAAATTAAATCACAAACAAGATATGTGTTTACACATGGAGGAACATTTATATCATGGAGATCTGTGAAGCAATCACCGATAGTAACATCTTCAAATTGTTTTGAAATTATTGCAGCCTATGAAACATGCCGAGAATGTAAATTGTTGAGAAACATAACCCATTATATCCAAGCATTATGCAAGTTAACTTCAACAAAGATAGTTCAATAATTTTATATAAAGACAATGTAGCTTGTATTACACAACTCAAAGGATGCTATATCAAATGTGACAGGACAAAGCATATTTTTCCAAATATTTTTCATGCACATGAGCTTTTAAAGAATGACAACATCGATATCCAACAAATTCGCTTAA